TTAGAGTAAATTTGACAAAAAGTTAATAAATACAAACATTATTTAAAAATTAAAAGAAAGAATACAATATTATTGAAATTCTCTAAATATCTGTTTAATCTGTTTAAAATTCTATAAAAAATGTGTTATAACTCCTAAAAAATTAATATAATAAAAAAAAATCTATATATTTAAGGAGTTTAGGCATTAAATAATAAAAAATGAAATTATTTATATAAAGAAAGGTGATTTTTTTTAAAATATAAAATCTACTGATCATCTAACTTCTAAATTATACATGATACAAATCTATAATTTTACAGATTATTAAGATTAGTATTGAACTTAAATTTAAAAAAAAATTTAATAGATATTATTAATTAACTTTAAGAATTATGAGGGGTCAGATACTTATAACCGCTATTGTATATGCTATTTTTATTTCATGATAATAAATATTGAAAAGTATTTTTAACTCGTAATCCTCACTGCATTGGAGACTCTCCTTTTCTTATTATTGATAATTTATCATAGATTTTTTCATTAGCAAGAAATTTTTTGAAATCCATGCTACTATAGTAATTTTCAAGATATTTTCTGTAATATTTTATATTATATTCAGGATGATTACTGATAGGCTTAGGAAACCTCCATTCTTTTTTATTAATAATCATATTAATGTTAGTAGCGCTTATCAAGGTAACAACTGTCATATTTAACAAAATATACTGATTTTATTGTTTTATAGTATTTTAGTAAATTCTAGCTATTCTTAAGTAACATATACTATAGAATATCATCATTCAAATTTATATGGATTTACTGGTTAGTAATTAATTGATTTGTAGCCAATTTAAGAGACTATACACTGCTAAATTCAAATTCATTTTTATTCAATTAACTTCGAGGTGAAAACAAATTTATAACTGATTTTTTTAATTTAGTTAAATTAGATCTAAGACAATATACACAACATGATCATTATTGTATTATGATATATCTGACTCCTTTTCAGCATCTTATTAGTTCCTGACACTTTTCCGTCACTTTCAGTTTGTAGATCTTTCATAATTAATAGGGGTTAGCCAGAAGCGTTGCAGTATAACATAAAAATTTATATCACCTAGCTCCCAGTCAGTTCTTGGCACTTTCTCGCAATTTTCTCGCAACTTAAATCATGAGAATCAACCAATCAGATTTTGCATGTGCAGTAACTAAACCACCATTATTATTTGATTAATTATTTTATTGATCATTATATTTTTCACCCTTAATATAATTATGATATTGATTTATTTCACAGCTCATGCATTGTTCATTTAAATCATGTCACATATAAAAGTAAGCCCTTCTTGCTTATCCGCTACTTCACCTTTTCAATAAAAGTTTTTCTTATTCGTAAAATGTCTCTTGAGTGGAATGCTGAACAAACTTGCATTTTCATCAATGAACGTAAAAATGGTAATGTTAAGTACCACTATACACCTAAATATAACAAGAAAATCTTCTGAGAAAAAATAGCTGAGAAGTTTAGCCAAATTTATAATTCGAACTATTTTACTGGAGATGATTGTAATAAAAAATTTTTAACTCTAACTCAGGCATATTATGTAAATAATACGACAATTGAGTAGTTGAGCTAGAGGGTACTTTACCTGACTCTGATCTGATATCTTTGGTATATATAGACGGCTAAGACCTATAAGGAAGCTGAGACAGGAGTTAAAAAGAAGAGAAATCTTGTTGAAGAACATTACTATTAAGAGTTCTCAACAGAATTTTGGAAAGAACCCAATATTTATATAGTATTTTATGGCTATTTTTTTTTAACATTCTCTTGTGAAGCGTTTCTGATTGTATATATAAAAAGATATATCCCTAATTAATTATTGTTTCTAGAAACACAACAGTTTGTTAAAGCAAACATGACATTATCTAACATACTGAGTAGATCACAACAATTAAGAATTCTGATGCCAACTACTGCATCATCATCCAAGAGAATGTCTAAAACTGTCAAAAATTTCTCTATTACCTCAAGATTAATAACACTATCTCTCGAAACATTTGCAATTTCTAGGCTAATTACACCTATCCTCTCTTCTTTTTCCCAAAGCGTCAATGTTATTAATGTAACTATTAATTATGATAATACTGATTTCAAGTGAGAGGATTAGTTTTTAGTAGTAAACAATATATAAATAGCGTTATTTGCTAATAAACCTAGCTATTTTTTCATAACTGGCAGTAGAATACAAAGGCACAAATGTAATATTAGATACCTTTGGTATACATATGTTTTGAATAATTAATAAAATTTTTTATTATATTTTTGATAAAGTAAACTATATGTAATACGAGTAAACTATATATTTGTGATCACATGAATTTAGATCTTAGGTCTGATGCCAAAGTTTTCACTCGAGTCTAGGCAAAAATACCTCATTATGTGTTTTCAGTTGATAATAAAGACCTTTGTCATCCAAAAAGACTAATAAGTATTGTAGATAAATTTATTTGCAATTTTATTTAATTATACTAATAAGAGTATTTCTTCTAGTAAGTTTCAGTTATTATAATTTTGTGATCATAAGTAAAGTGTTCAGAAAGTATAAAAACCCTATATTTTTACTCTTTCCTGTAAATTGCATCTCAAAAAATAACACTAATAGAATCAGAAAGATCCAATAACACCCCTTTGCATATTCTATTGATCATTGAAGAAGATATATTTGGGGATTCAAGCTAAACCTTCAATCAAAGTAAACGTATACTTGACGAAAGTATTTTTTATCACTGGGATCAACTCATCACACTAACAATTTCTCAAGAGAAATCTGAAACATGTTCTTTATGTAATAAAACTGATTTATTATTTGAACCTAATAGAGTTATCTTGGAAGCAATCACGAAATTGTCTTGTCTTCATAGCTTTCATCTTAGATGTATTATTATTTCTTTAAAAAAGGATACAACCTGTTCTCATTATTGACAATCTATTTATCTTGGAGATGATGATACACAGTTACTTTTATAAGAAGAAGAATATATGATTGAAAAGTTTTTTAAAGACTTAGCTAAGGAACCACAAGACTTTAGTCCATTACCTGAGAACTCAGTTGAAGAAACAGAGAATCTTATAACTTCAGAAATGATATTCATCGGATTATACAACAAAATAGTTCAGGCTAAAAAATTCTTAAAGAAAAAATACGTGAAGTGTCCTGTGCAAAACATGAATTCCTCGATTCTTTATATCCTCTCAGAGAAGCATTAGTGAAAAAACTAGCTGAATTTAGAATTAACCACTCTCTTCAAACTATGCGAATCTTGCTTAATGTAGAAATTAAGCGTCAGTTCTCCTCCAATATATCTCGTAATATCTTTAATAAAAAGAAATGTTCAGCTACAAATATTTATAAGATATTCAGTACGGAAGGTTTAGGAAGAGACGATATCAAGCGAATTAGAAAATTTGGCTTATCGGCTTTTGAAAAATCTAATGAGAAAGAAATGGAGGCAATTCAAGAAAGAATTATAACTACTTTTTCTTGACCAGATGGGCTTTAAAACTATTTAAATAATTTAGATCTAAATGAGAAACCAATACTGACTGATTCTGATTGAATAACATTATTGGCTAACGCTATACATATTTAAATATATATAGATTTTAATAAATGATCCTGCCTCTAATTTATTTTTTTGATGTAATAGAATGCATTAGTCCAAACATATTTATATAGATTCTAATAAATGATCCCACCTCTTTAAGGCCTCTGATTTATTTTTATTTTTTTTTCAAAAATCGATATAATTTTTATCATGTGATCAGAAAATAATTGGCTACTAATTATCTAAACATATGATTTTGCCAATATAATTATAATTTCAGCTGTCAATTCTGAAAAAATCGAAATATAATTGTGTAAAGGGTTACTTGACACTTAGCCTCGAAGGAGCAATATCATATGACACTTACAATGGTATATGTCTAGAGAATTACTTATCACTGATCCCAGAGGGAACAATATTATATGACATTTATAATAGTATATATGTAGCTACTGTGGATGATATGCAGATACAGAAATCTATCACACCAAAGATCAACAAAAATCATGCTTTGGTTATTAAAGCACTTTGCATAATATTTCATATGAGACATGCGTTAAATTCTCAGGATTTTGTGAAAAAAATAGATAATCCAGTACTAAAATATGTAATAATTTCTCTAGGCGGTTACTGGAGAGATGGTGAAGCTCATTACTGACTGAGATACAGGATCATCAAAATATGTCTTATGCTTTAAAACTTCTATGATGATTTTATCAAGATCATTAGTAGCATTTTCATCGACTAGCTTAACTTTATTCGCTTCCTTCTCAGGAAAATAATCCTCTAGGTCAGGCTTAGTTGATGTTTTATTCTCTAACTTTGCTATCCTTGCCATTTCTTCATGCATGAGCCTTTCATAAAGTTCATGATCATACTCATCATCAGAGTCATTGGATTTAAAATATACATCAGAATCAGAATCACTATCACGTTTTGAATCAGAATCATCGCTCGTATTAGTTTCTGATTTCTCAAAATATACATCAAGTGCTATGGACATGAAAGCTACATTCTTATTATTTGAGAAAGCGGTTTTCAATTTGACTTATTTTATAATATAATTGATTTGAGGGTTAGTAAGTTTTAAGATGCTGTCAGCGCTACAGGTGATCTGATTAACTATGTATTCTGGTATACTGTCAATCTTTTTTAAAGTTACAGGATCATATTTAAACCTAAATAACTTATTGATTTTTCTTACCTTACAGGTCTTTACACGTAAATATGTATCAGAAATGCCCGTAAGGTATAGTATTATTTTAGCGTAAATTTGTGATCTTGCTATCCTATCTGCAAGTTTCTTATTGTTAAACCTAAGCTTCATAACTTTATCTTCAAACTTTTTAGAGAATAAACACCATAATGTAATCTCTGATCACTTTACTATGATCAATTTATCTCTTACAATATTCGCTTGGCAAAATGAATTAGCAAGTTTTTTGATGTTTATTGATCTGGAAACTAGGATTCTAGGAGGAGAAAACTTTATATCTTGAAGTTGTCCGTCTGATGAAAGTAACTCTACTAACAAACTTTGTACGAATTTAGTTACTATACTCAAAGAAGTCAAGATGTGGCTAGAGGCACTTTGACATGATGATTGCTTTGTAATATGTTCTAACCTATCTTTAACGGAAGTAACCTGAAGTGGTTTCAGATCTTCCACTGATTTATTTTGATCATTAACAATGTTAACGATATTTTTGATTTTTTTTGAAGCATTCTGATCATTAATGGTATTTGAATATACAGCAGAATTCGCAATATCCTTAATGATTTCTATTTTGTGATCAAAGGAAGATAATTCTGAAGAAATATAGTTAGAACTTTTAGGCACATCTAGCTTCTCAATATTGTTAACAGTTTCTGATATATAAGTAGTATCAGAAGAGCTGTCCTGGTTAGCTGATTCATGCTGGAATTTTTTCTTCTTATTGCATCACCTAATATCTTCACTAATGCTTTTCTTATTTATGTTGACTAAAAAAGTGTCTATCTCTTTCTTCTGTGATGATTTTTCATAATGTTCTGCACCTGAATTGAAGTTAGATGAATTATTAATAGAGGTATTATCATTAGGGGTATTATCATTAGGAATATTATCAATTAGTGTCTGCTTCTGTTTCACTTTCATAATTCTGTCTCCAAACTCAAATTCCATATCCTCAATTCTAGCCCTGAGTTTGGCATTTTTCAGCATCTCACCTCTCATTATATTCCTTATTCACTTTTAGAAACTCTGCGCTTAAGTTCAGCTATTTCAGCATCAGATACTGAGAGCTTATTTCTAAGATAGGAGATCTCAGTATTCTTCTTTCTAAACTCTGTATTCTTAACCTCAAGTTCAGTGATACGCTGTTTTAATACTTCAAGTTCAGATGACATGATCTATAACTAATACAATGTATATAAGCATTCAAAATAAAAAAACACGTGATTTGAAAAAAGGAATATTTAGAAAATGATTATTTATTCACAAGTTTCAGGACCTTTATTTTTGATATCATTAAGCAAATCTACCACTCTTTTTGTAGTTGACACCTAACGCAATGTCACACCTGATCCACAGCTTAACCATCCTTTTTTACCCTCACCTATTTGAATAATGAAATCAGCTATGCATTGGTCTATCTTATTTCTAAAATATTACGCCTTAGAAATGAAACTATCTTGAATAAATAATTCACGAAATGCCTTCATATCAAAGAGTTCTTTCATTAAAGCATGATATGCTTTTTCTCTTAGATTATCGCATTGGTTTTCGAGCTTAATCAAAAGATTAATAAAGTTATTAACCTAAGGCATATTTTTTCGATCATATGATAATACTTCGTGAATTTCATCAACTACTAGATCTTGACGAATAAGTTCTCGTAATTCTGTATCTGTTACTGCAAGGTATCTTTTATTTTTTTTACGAATTATACTCTTGACTTTAGAAGAGTGAATTTAATATTATAGAACATGTGATATAATTACTGCAGAGAAGAATAAATGACGTTTTACTATGCATGATATCTAAGCCATCCACGTGATTCAAAAAAATAATTATATGCCAATCTTATGTCATACAGCACTATTTTCAGTAAGAATTTTACCAAATCTCTTCTGCGCATTTCAGGTGATCAGTTTCACATGACGGAGTTTCTATACTATGATTGCAAACTTGAATTTATTGCTTGAAATGAAGTAAGTAAGACAATATTCTGTTCTATACTATTCGTCATGTAATCCATAATTTTTATGTTTTTCATCGCAAATAAGACATGGTGAGCTCCACGGCTGAGCAGATACAAAATTATAATTATCAATCCCTCTGAAACTATTTCAAAATTTCAAGTATGTGAAATGCTCTAAGACGGATTTGATAATTAATTTTGGATCAGGTTTAGTTTTGTGATAAGCTTGAAATCAGAGACTTGAGGTTTTTCTGATATACTTATCATGACTTCTGATAATTGCCATGGTTTATTTCCAGTTTCTTTTTGGTATCTTTTGTATAAATTAAAACTAATCTTATCTGCCAAAGTGCTTAGTAACTCACTTAATTTAACATGCCAATTCAAATACTCAGGGGTTAATACTTTATCAGATTTGGTTATGTTGTTGTTTTATATGATCGCAAATCAATTTAAATTAGGTAAATAGTCGATATAAATTAGCCCTGTAAAAAAATAGTTTCTCAAGAGAAACGTAAATATAATAGTATAAATAATGAGACTATGCAACTATCTCAATTTCATACTGTTCATATTTAATAAAATAGAATCCAGTCTCATAATTACCTTCTATGCCTTCTTCATCATTATGACCTAACTTGCACAATGGGCATAATGTCTCATCAGTAATGCCATAATAATCAAAATTTTCACTACTAAATTCTCTATATAAAGTAGAAAATTGATCCAATGTTTTGTTACAAAAATAGGATCAGTCATAAGTTAGTTTAGATTGGAATGTAAGTGATATATTTGCCTGAGAAATGTCTGATGAAATCATTTCTGATGGAGCATTTATCTTGATTTCTTTTTCATTTGGTGAAGACTGACACTTAATGTAGTAAGAATCCTTTATGCATCGTCTAATTACCTTCCTATTGTTATGCTCTTTTTCACATTCAGGGCATAAGCCTGAATTTTTAAATTCAAATGCATCATTATATTTGTCACTATTATACAAGGATAAGTAGGGATACTCTTTCAAAGCCACATTAATGTAGGGGGTACAAGCATCATATGGGACGATTAGCATGTTCTTTTTAGGTTAAAAGATTTGTATACTCATCTTGGTAGGTAGCTCTAATACTATATCTGGTAATTTTTTCAGGACAGACTCATCAAGTAGGACTTTAGGTCTCACTTTTTCTACATTTTTGCATCCAGAATATGGGTTAGACTTTTTTAGCTCTGTATTAGCATAGCCAGATCCACTAAAATAATTCAGAATAATTTAAATTTGAGGCTTAGTAAACTTTGAAATAGAATCTGCGCTGTAAGATTTGATATTCTTAATTCTATCTACTCCTATCTTTTCGAATAGTTTGTAAATCTTTATGATAGAGGTGTGATTCGTTCATTCGAAATCTGATCATCCGATCAAAATTCGGATTAAATTACAGTACAGATATGATTATTTTTGATCAAATAATATACGAATTTAAAAACTTTGAACGGATTTTCACCAAATTATCTGTATAATCTGTTGATCCGATGAATAGTAATATATATGCTGTAGTACTGACTATACTGTATATGTTATATAAAAATTTCCTGAAATGTAAATTTAATTGTAGTTAGTTACTATATGAAGAATGTAGAATAAATGCAGAATTCTT